CACCTGGGGCAGCCAGGTCTTCGCCTACGGCCGTGGGCACCTTCGTCCTTGCAGTCGTGGCCAACCACGTCTTCGCCGGTGTGGACGACCACGCCTTCGTTTACGCAAAGGACTGACATGTTTTGTCGAGTACACGTTTGGGCACTACTGCTGCGACGATGGTGTAGTTCACTCCTGTTTGTCGTTCCGCGTCGGTGCGGTCAGCCCTGACCAGCCGTCCGACTGGTCTGAACTTCCACGTGCTGCTGACATAAGGAACTCGAGCTACTGAGAGGAGCAAGGACACAGGGAGAGGAGCAAGGACACAGGCGGGTACTAAGCGCGGTGCGTCTTTGGAGATGCTTCTCATGCTCCTCAGTTGCCGTCGTCGCTTCGCCAGGGACATCTTCATAGGTGATGCGCACGTTCACTTCCTAGCTCTCGCTGTGGGGCAATCCCCCATTCGCGACGAACCCATTATTCCTGCCTGTCCGCTGAGCTCTTTGCGACGACCCCATCGGGGCCCTCTGCCCTGGGAGGGTGCGCCTCTAGCCTGCCCCCATCGGCGTCCTCCGCCTCCCTCGCGGCAAGTCTCCAGGCGGGCCTTCCGGGCGGTTCCGGGCCTGCCCCGAATACCGCCGACCGGCCAAAGCTGGGTCAAGTACGTTCCGGCGTCCGCCGCGCGGCCCGGACACCGTTCCCCCCTCTCCCTCGCCCGTCGGCGCTCGCGAATTTCAAAATAAAGTGCAGGTCGCTGCTTTTCGGCGTTGCTGGATGGCCGTCCCCACCCCAGAGGGGGCCATGGGCGCCTCTCCTGCAGTGCCGCCTTCGCAAAGGCGGGGGCGCGTAGGGGCGGGACTGGGGCGCCCGCAAGGCAGACGCCTTCGCGGCCCAGCTCGGCCGCCCCCATTGCGTAGCCTCCGAAGGCCACCATTCTCGATATGAGTAGCCATATCGTGCGCCGCATGTCGGTTGATTTTTACCCTAGGCCCCTCACGAAGCGTCTGTCCTGAGGGTCAATTGGGCGCAGTGTTGCGAACAAACATGCCCTCCAAGTAGCAAAGGATCTAGGGAGGGCTACCCTTACTGCGCCACCCTCACAGGGGGGGGTGCGCGGGGGCAAGACGTCAGGCCCTTTCTTCCTCGCACGTTTCCGTGGTCTCTCAAGTCGACGAATGATTCGATGGCGCCGCGACTGCGGCAGGCTGTCAGATAGCCCTTCACGAAGCTTCCAGAGCCTGACGCGGAAGGGGGTAGTTCGTCCAAACAAAGGCGACCCCCCTTTCTGGCGATTTCCTCGCGACGTGGACCCCCGGAGGCCTAGAAACCTTCCCCGCGAGCGGTTTTTCGTCCCGGCTCGTTCTGTCGGACGGCCCCGGGGCCTAGTGAAGGCCCCTCAGGGGCCGAGGACGGTCGAAGAAATCTCCTATTGTGGTTTTTGTGTACGACGTGAGCTTGTCTGGGGACAACCCTTGTATAGGGCACGGTGAAGGCATTCGACAAATAATCCTTGGATAAGGAACCCAGGGTCTGAAAGCTGGTGGGATACCACTGGAAGCTTCGGTCATGGATACCACCGCCGCCCTCAACAGATTAGGAACAATCCAGGGCTTGAAACTGAAGCCTCCTGAGCTCATCCCTTATCGAACGCCCCCACCGTACGACAAAAAACCCGGTTGGCGTTCCCGAAGTCCTCCAGGACCTCCCCCGTCCAACGCGGCGCAATGCATAATGTTTCGGCCCCAGGGGCAGAGAACTACGCACTGCACCATTCCTGGGGGTCCGTGGGTGCCCCTGGACAGCTGAGGGCCCCATGACCTCTGAAAGTGCGTAATACAGAATAAGAAAGAAGGAATACAAACACCTTGTTCATTACAACATGCTGCACACCTGGAAGGGCAACGCCAAACCCCTGTCCCTGAACCTGAAATGGTTATGGAAAGGGCCTCGGTTTCTGGCGACGCTTTCACAGGCACTGCAAGTCCGCGCGGAACTGTCAGATTCACACTGGTCCTAGTCCACTGCTCAGAACCCGCTGCGAAAATAAAGTCGTCGTCCTCTGAATCCTGTCGGCCTCCGCCCGCGCAGTCCATCTCGTAGAGGTTCAACCCTGTGAAGCAGCACTCCGCGGATCAGGCGAAGGAGGTGGCCTCCTTCTTCCGCTCGCGGTCCTGCTCGCGCCGCTGGAGCACCACGCTGTCTGAAGTAATGCCGTACCCTCCGAGTTCCAGAGCGCGTCGAAGTAGCGAGCCCTCACCCTTGCGCTTCGTGAGAGGGTCGGCAAGCTGACTCGCGCCCCCTATCCACCGAAGGTAGACCTGCGGACGCTGCGTGGCTGCGCGAGCGACGGCCGCGTCAATGGCTGCCCTCCTGTCTCGCCCGCCAAGCCAGCCTTCGGGTTGGCAACGTGGTCGCAGCCGCCCCTTGAGTCGGTGACACTGATGACTGACGACTGGAATGCTGCCCGCCAACTCGGGGCCTACGATCTCCAGCAGCATGGCCCTGATAAGCTCGGCCACGGCCAGCAACTCCGCGCCGAACTGGAGAGTGCACTTCTCGTTAATACGTGGCTCTTCGTAAACTGGATGGAGACGATTGACCTCTCGCCCTTCAAGATCTTCCAACTCGCGGCGTATGCGACGCGACCAACCCGAGAGGCTCCGCCCCTGGCGTCGGCCCAGGCCGCGTCGCTGAATGCCGCGAAGGCCAACTCGCGAAAGGGGCTGCGCTTCGCCCCGAGCGCGACCCCGCAAAAACTCCTTGGCCATGCGTCCTTCTCTATTCGCCTCCAGAAGGTCGTCCGCGGTAACGTTGGGCATCTCGCCCTGAAGTAGGCTGGCTCTCTCTGGCCACGAAACAGATTGACCCGCGCAGACTCCTCGCCTCGCTTGGTCCAGCTGGTGCAACTTGAAGCTGAGGCTCCTTCCGTTGCGATGCCGATCAGGTGGATGTCCGCCGAGCTCCGACTCTGGGATGCTGCGATCTTGGCGTTATCCTCGTTCTGCACAAACTCTGTGCCCGTGCACTTGCCCAGTTCGTAGCGCCGGGCTCCAAAAGGGGACCTCTTGCGCAACTTCTCACGCGCTTCATCGAACAGCTCGTCGATCCCGCCCGCGGCGTCGTCCACCGCGAGGCCCACGATGCCGCGCGGGCCCTGCAGGCCCCACAGGTAGAAGACACGGCCATCGAAGATGGAGCGCTGAAAACCAATCCCCCCAGCGTAGTTCGCGAAGGAAGTGGCCCGCTGCGCCGGGGCATCTGCCAATCCGTAGACGGCCTCGAGCACTCCGCGAGCGAGCCCGTCTCGACGTCGGGGACGCATGTCCGAAGTAGTTCCACATGCAGGCCCCCCTGCGCCCAGTCAAGGGGCAAAGGGGTCGCCCGCTGCGATGGCGGACTTGATGCCGGCCAGCCGGAACGCCCACTGGCTGGCGCACAGAATCTGCAAGAAGAGAAATGCAGAGTCCTTGCCGACCACAGGACTATGCGTCTCCTTGTCGAGCAAGTCGGCGTCGGCGTGACCCTGGGCCGCCCGCCGCGCCGCGGCCGCCCTCCAAGTGCGTCGTTCCGGAAAAGCGGGGGTTCCCTGCTGGCGCCTGCGCCCCCGGAGTCACCGGCGCCCATCGAAAGCCCATGATGCGACGAGCAAGATCGAGGTTCTGTCGAGTTCTATCCGCTTCCACAGCATGTAGCACTCGCACGGAGCCAGCACGCATGGCGTTATCCCACTCACGCCGCTCGGCTGGGATCTAGGGCTGATACTTGTAGATGTCCACCGCGGATATTTCCGCTACCTATTTCCTGCCGCGCTGAGCTGCACTCGCGAGGTGGGCGCCGACTGGCGCTAGGCCCTCTCCCTTGTCCTTGCGGCTGTTCTTCTTAGGCCGGGCCACGATGTCATTCTGGATCTCCTCCTCGATGCTGGCGATCCACTGAGACACTGGCACGGCTGAGGCTGGATCGTTCATACTTCGCTTAACAGTGATGGGCGCGTCGTCGAGGTGGTCTTAGCGCTGCGTCCCCATGGGCGCCGTCTTCGAATCGATGTCGGTGGAGAGCTCGATTACCATCGTAGGCGGCTGCCAGGAGAACGGAAAGTGATCATCTCCAGCCAGTTCGGGGGGAGCTGCACTTGGAACTGCATCCTCGGCTTCGCCTGGAAATTATTCCTGATGAGCGCGGTCCCCGCGCTTGCGCCCGCAGCGGTTCTCCGTGCCCGGGCCCTCCTGCATCGAACTGTCGATATGCTCCCATGCGGGCGTCTCGCTCTCGTCGGCATGGCGGAGCTGCTCAGGGGGGCACTTGAATTGCCCCCCCTGGTAAGAGCGCCAGACCGCGCTCGGCAGCTCCGCCTGGATAATCCGAGCGGGGCCCTGCCAAGAGCTGGCGGGTAACTTGTCGGTACTGCATCTCCAGAAATAGCAGCGGCCTCCTGGCTGAAAAGTGGCCCCGCGGGGTGGTCGGGCCCTTCGGTTGAGTGCTCTGCGCCACTTCCCCGAGCACTGCGCCTATGTGGGTCGCCATATGCGCCTCGCGCATGTCGATCCCCCCGGCAAGCTCGGCGTCGCCGTTCATGGCCCGCGATGCCGTCGATGGGCCCGGGGGGGGGGGGAGCCCGAAGATTCCTCTCAGGCAATATGAGAGGTCGCCCGAAACCGATGATAGAAAGCGAGGACCCCCCCCCGCGCGCCATGGCCAGTCGCGACGTCGACAGAATCCACGAGCTGCTGAACTCGTCCCAACTGTTAGCGCTAAAATTATTCCAGGCTCGTCAGAATGTCTACTTCCGGGCGCCTCCAGCACGCTCGACATTGCCCGCCTGCCGCGGAGAAGTCGCGCTCGCCACCTTCACCTCGACGCCGTCGCCCTCGGCCGCGTCGATGACCTCACCGACTGACAAATCCTTCTCGCCGTGGACCACGATGACCGCATGCGCGCTGCACAACTGCATCTAAAAAGCACGGTGGCGACGTCGCATCCCATGCCCGCGCTCGCTCGGCAGCGGCACTGCGACCTGGCGCCTGGCACCGCGGCGCGCGATGTTGAGCGCGGGGATGCAGGCGGCGTTCTCGGGGCCGATCACAAAGAAGATGTCCTGCCCGACGACGTCGTTGAACTGGTGCGCGGCAGTAGCCCTGGACGGTTTTGCCTGCCTCGGCCGCTCGTTGCGTTCGCAGCCCGGGCGCGCCAGGTGCTGGGCCGCCTCGACGAGGGCCCGGCGGGCCCTGCTATGCATCGGAACCACGACGAGATTCTCGTTGCTGCAGTGGCCCATGCTCTCGCGAATCATCTGAAGCTGCTATGCGACCTGGGGGTCGGCGCCCCTATCGCCCCCGCCCTTCGCGACGGGCGCTGCGCGGCGTGGATCGCAAAGCAGGTCGGCGCCCACCCCGGTGACATTCTTCTCACAGGCCACCTTCTCCCCCTTCGCCACGGCTCGCGCGGGGGCCCCCGCGAGCCCCTGCGCAGGTTCAGGCATGCCTCCCAGCTTCTTTCGATCGGGGGCGCCGATGCGCCCCCGGCTCGGCGCCTCCCCGCGCTCGTGGGATGGCCCAGGCAAATGGGGCACGCAGCAGCGCCCCCTACCATTGGCCCTCCCAGAAAGCACTTGAGGAAGTCGGCCGAGCTTGTTGGTCAGCGCGCCCCCCCACTCGCGGGAGTTCTCGCCTTGCTCGCAGTGGAAGCACCTGCCGTCGATCGCCTGCCCGATGGCCACGCCCGACCCGAAGGCCCCCATGTCCTTGCCGATCTTATCCTTGGGCTTCTGGTCGTAGATGCCCCCGGGCGGCTTGATGGCCGCCGGCGGCGGTTTGGGGTTCACGGCCACGTTCCAGGACTCATTCTGGCCGCTCCTTTGAATGCAGATGTTAGTAAGTGCCACCGCGCGCCTCAGCTCCGTCGCGCCCAGCATCGACGCCCCGCGACTCTCGCTCATCTGTTCGATCGCGCCTTCGAACGTCTCGTTGAATTTCGCAAGGAAGACCGAGCTCCTATGGCACGGCGCCCCCAACCGCTGCGAGAACCGCCTCCTGCTCATCGAGACTCCTCAGAGAGCGGCCGAGTACCTTCATCTCTTTCTCGCTCGGCCCCTCCAATCTTCACTGACGTCCGCGCCGAGGTGGCGGCGCATTTTCTCGACCTGGGCGTCGGTCGCCACGGCGGCGCTCTCGCTCTGCATGGCCACCTCAGAGCCGCCGAGGCCTTGCTGCGCGGCGATTCCTCAGGCTCGCCCAGCCCCTCCCGGCTCGCTTGCCCGTCGCTCAGTGGCACCTCCGCCAGAACTAGTAGCCGCGTCTCTGGAGCGTGTCGCGGGCTCGCCTCTGGCGCCGCCGTAGTCCTCCCGCTTGTAGACGGCGCCCTCCTGTCTCGCGATCCTCCGCGGCCTCCTGGTTGGGCCCCTTCCTGGCCCTCGGCGTCCAGCCCTTTCTCTGCGCCGTCAAGTCCTCGTGCTCGTCGAGGGTCGCCATCGATTCTTGCTTCCCTGGATCCGTCTTCGGTGGCACCCCAGATGTAACTTGCATGCGCTGCACCGCGCGTAGAAGGCCTTCGCGCCCCCGCCGCGGCTGCAGAACTCGCGCAAGCAACTCGCCTCCTTCGTCGGATTGCGACCCCTGGCCCTCGGCCGGACCGTCGGCAGCCCAGGTCCTCTATTGGGGATCTCGAAGTGCCAACGCACCATGGCACCCTTCGGAGGTCTCGGCCCAGCGCTGATCTCGCGCCAGGGCCACCTGACAGTGAACTCGCCGTCCTGTACCTTATCCGATGTCCTCGGCATTCTCGCCTCCATTGGCACTGTGCCCCCAGCCGTTGGCGGCGCCCTGCCAGTCGCCTCCGGCGCGGCTGGCCCGCGCAACGAGGAAGGCCGCAAGCCGAGTGGAGGAACTCGGGGGCTCGTCGAACGGCACGTTGACATGAAATACATTGGAAGGCCTGCATATTTTTTCTCCACCGCACCCATTTGATGATGGCTCGAACTCGATATAAGCCAAATCTAAAAAAACGCCGGCCGGGTTAACGTCACCCCAAACGGGCTCCGGCCATATTCCCCCCCGGAGGCGACAGAGATGCACCACTGGAATGCCTAAACAACTTCGGTCAGGAATCCAACTCCTATCGAGCACAACCCTGAGCTGCCGGATGTTATATATCTGACCCTGAGCACCGCATAAGGATGTCGACCTCGAACCAAACTGACGACAATGATGCTTCATGTTGCTGCTGACGCTGTTTATCTGGAGTTTGCCGCTGTCGCCGACGTTGCCGAGCTGCTTCTCGCGGTCTAAAATTGCGTTCAGCTGTCATTGCTGATGTTGGTTTGTTGCAGTAGCCGATAATGTCGGGCTCGTTGCCGGCGCTGCCGCGCTCGCTGAAATGCCCCCTCATTTCCTCGGGCCTCGGCGCAGTTATCCTCCTCCAGGCCTCTCTCGATCATCGCTGTGCTCCCGCTATTTGGGCTGTTGTTTGTTTTGACCTCGTTGCTAGACTTCCGTTTGCTGCATCGCATTTCTGCTCTACGCCCCCCGCTGCGCCCCCGATGCCCATCATCGCGTAGTTCTTAATCTCAGCGGACGCGCAGTGGTTTGCGACGATTGGCGTCGAAGGATACTCACGCCCCGGCCTGACTCTCAAATCCATGGAGATCTCCTTTGCGCGCAGGGCCCAGCTGGCAGGCGCGCTCCAAGGTTCGCGACGCCACCCAGCTGCAGCAGAAAATGATCGCCGCCAGCGCGTGCCAGAGGGAGCCGAAGGATCTACTGAGGCAAATTCACTGCCAATTCAAAGGCGCGCAAAGATGCCTTCAATTCCACAGCGACTGTCCTGGACAGGGGAAATGGGGCGGCACCTGTACGCAAACGCGCGAAGATGGCGACAAAGAACTCCTCCAGCACGACGTTGAAGCCCCAGGCCGTGCCCACGGCTCCCCACCCAGGCGCGCTCGAGGTTTCGATGCGAGGATGCCGAGGCGAACGCGCGTCGAAGCGCCCCCCCCATAAAGAAAGGCCGGGAGCGGCGCGGCGCTCGCACGGCCGCAGCCCCGCTGCGGGACATCCCCCCCCGAAGCGAGAGAGGACCCCGAAGACAGCGGCCTCGCGGAGACGCAGCGGCGGCGCAGCGTCGATACAGCTGGAGGAAGTGGCAAGGAGCGGGGATAGATGGGAGACGGCTGGAGGGAAGGGGGCTCGGGTGTTGGCGGGGGAGCAGAGCCGCGAGGTCTTGGACACCGCCCATCTCAAAAGTTCGCGCTCGCAGGGCGCAGCTTGCCGCGCGGAGCCGAAAGCCTCGCCGCGAGCGAACTGGGCAGCGAGGCGGGGGCGCGGCGCTTCGCCGCCTGCTGTGGCGCGGCCAAGCGAAAGGAAGCTGCAGCGCAACGCTGCGCCGCGCAAGCGGGCGACCGCGGCGAATGTTTTTTTTTTTACCAAAAAAAAAAACATCGAACGAAGGGGGGCAACGCGCCCCCCCCAGGCGCGACGCGCGAGGGCGTTGCCACTGCCGTGGAATAGCCGCAGACACGCACACGCCCGCGGAAAAAAAGACCCGCGCGTCGAAACAAGGATACCGCCACGCAGCGCAGCGCGATTGCAAATCAAAAAAGCACGCGCGCGCGCGCCAACACAAAACCGCCACCACGCAACGCAGCGCGACTGCGAAGTAGAACAGGGGCGCGTCGCAACAAGAATACCACCACACAGCGCAGCGCGACTGCGAAGCCGAAGCACACGTGTCATACATGCGCGAAATTCCAATGTGAAGTACGCATAGTTCGCAGCGCGCCACAATGCGAGGGCGCTGGGTGCGAGCACTTGCGAGCCGAAGTCACGCGCCGATGCTTCGCCTCAGACGCGCCCCCGAGGCTCGCGGGCCCCCCGCCCGGCAACAATCCCAGCCAAATCCCGGCCGCCGCCCGGCAAAATCAACCAAATCCCGGCCGCCTCCCAGCCGCCACCCAGCCGCCGCCCAGCCGCGGCCCAGCCGCCGCCTGGCCGCCGCCCCTCCGCAAAAGCTGCCCCCCCCCAAAAAAAAAGCCGCCGCCGGCAATGTCCCAGCCGAACCCCCCGCCGCGGCCCCGCCGCCGCCCGGCCGAATCCCAGCCGCAGGCTCCCTCCCTGAGGCCTCGACGCGGCATCACAGGACCTCGCAGGAGGGAGGGGCGCGGGGGGCGCGACGGAGGAGCACGGCAGCAGACGGGGGAAGGGGGGCCGCCCGGAAGGCGGGGCGGGAGGAACGGCAAGGAAGGCGCGAAGGAAAGGTGAGAAGGCGACGAAGGAAGGAAGGAAGGAGGAGAGAGGCGCAAGAAGGACGGATGAGGGGGGCGAGAGGGAAGACAACGGAAGAGGGGAAGAGGAAAGGAGGAGGGGCCGCCGATGACGATTGAGATAAGAAAGGGTCAGGAGGACAAGGGCAGGGGGGGTTGGGATTGGGCCTGAGCAGACCTGGGAGGACATACCAGTGGCGCGAATAAAAAGAGGAAGCTGTTGGCGACAACGAATACGATAGTGTTGATAGAAGCAAATGATAACATGCTTGAATGAACGTTCGTGGTTCCATGTGGACCTCCGTGACAATGGGGCGCAGCGTTACTTGACCGCCGTATTCTATCACGGGAAATGGCAGCGTTGGCGCCGGGGCCAGCGCGCGCGGAGCGCACTGGAGAAAGTTCGACAAATGCGAATGGCGAAGCGCGCGCGAACGGCCCCGAAGCGGACGTAATCGCAAAGAGTCGGCGCCGTTCGCTACGACGCCATCGCTGGATGCGCCGCCCTCACACAAGCACGCGCGAGAGACTGCCGCACCATAGCCACGCGAACCGCGCACTCCAAAAAGCCGGCCGCAAGGAACAAGAAGACGCGCACAGGGGTGCACGAGACCCCAGGTGGGGCCAGCTGGATTTCGGCTTGGCTTCTGTTCGACTTGCACTTGGGGGAGAGCATCTTTCGCCTGGGCCTCCTCATCTCGATGTCGATCGCCTGCTTGACGTGCTCCGCCAGGTTCGACCTGGGCGCCATCTTCGCCCCCGTCGCAATGCAGCTGCAGACCTCGTCATCCTCGTGCGCCGTCACAATCGCAAATCCCCCCGCGGGCTTCTCGGGCCTCTTCGGATTGCCTGGGCGCTCGCGACGCCAGTGCCCCAGCATCTTGCAGATGCCGAAGGCGGTCCGCTTCTTGGTCGGCGCAATCGATTCCTCCACCTCCCGGCGATCCTCGGCGGCGCGAAGCCCCCAAGTGATCTTCTTGTCGGCAGCGATATCCCTCGCTTCGCCCCGCGCGCGCGGCTTTGATTGCGGCGAAATACCGCCGCCAGCAAGTCCAATGCGCGCGCCTCCGAAAAGATCTGCTCGCCGTCCGTCTGGCCCTGGCCGTCGCGCCCGCCGTCGCCATCAATGCCCAGCAAGTTGGCCACCGCGTCGTAGACCAGGTTGTCTGCCTCAGCTTCTCCTGGCGGTGCTGGTCCGTCTTCGTCAATCCTCGCGCGGTGGGCCGCCTTCGTGGCCATCGAGCGCTCGGCGACGCTGCTGTCGTCCGTCATCCATTTGAGTATCGAGACGAGCTCATTGACACGGTAGTCGCGACACGTCTGGGTGAGCACCCGGCCGCGCTCCGCCTCGACGAGCCCAGATCCTCGAAGCAATCGAAGACCCATGACCGCGTCATCCAGCGCACTCGGCAAGATACTCTCCAGCTCCTTCTGCTCTAACCGAATCCTATTGGTGAACTTCATCGTCGTTTCATCCTTGGCGCGAGGCGCGGAAAAGAGAGTCTTCTCGATCTGCGGCACGGCCTCAATTTTTCCCCCTGAAACGCTGGGGCGTCCACCGCCAGGATGACTGCGTGTAGTCCACCTGGGTGCTGAACCGATCCTGGTCGAAAGTGCCTTGTTGCTGTTGCTGCCTCCTTCGCTAGGTGCAGCAGTAGGGTCTCGCCTTGCTCCTCGGGCGGTACTGCCGCGAGCCTACTCCAGGCCATTCGCTGAGGTCCTGCCCAGCCCAAGAAG